ATTTTAAGAATAATTAATTCATTTTAACCTCATATAAAAACCTGTAACTCTGCACTGTAAAAAAATGAAAAACATATAATATCAACTTTACAGAAAAAAATTCCTAGAAAATGTTTGTTTTCATTTTTATTTTGAGAGTGTGACTTAGGCAATATAGTCACAATTACTAGACAATGCTTTAGAACAGGTAAATTTTTTTTTTTTTGAAAATACATTCCAGAAGTAGTGATAAGCTTTTTAGGACATACTTTTCTATTATCTGATATTTTTCACAATCACTCATAGCCTTAAATAGCATGAAGAAGCCAAGAATAAAATTTCAATATCCTCCCTCCAGGCAGACTTACATACGATATTTATTGAAACATTAGAACTCAAGTAAATTACAGAGTTCACTCATAGAACTCAAGTAAACTTAAAGCACTCACAGAAATAAAGTTGAAAATTATCCCATTCCTACATTTTAAAAACTCTGATGAATTTATTTATATGAACATAGTAAAATGTTTCCAGCTTATATTTTAGAAATTTTATTGAAAATTAAAAGCTAATGGATAAAGAAGTTATTGCTTTTTGAATACTTATATTTACCACTATTAAAGATAAGATTCTCTGGCTTGTAGTTCACGCAGTTAAAAAAAATTAAACTGTTTTTCATTTATTGTTAAATGGAGAAGTGCACATATTTACATTGGAGCTGAGGTTTTTATGGGTGCACAAAAAACTAAGAATAAGGTAAAGTATACTAAGTATGATAATAATTTGAATTTTAAACTCTTCTCCATAGAAACTTCAAACACCTAAGTGACTGATTACTTTTAACTTAAGGCTATGTGCATTTTATTTGTACTACTATTCATATATGGGAACCTAGAAAAAGTGATTACGTACTCATATTAATATTAATTAGGAATGGATCCTTCCATGTATTAAAAAATATCTTAAAAACAGACAAGTGGACAAACACTCCTGAAGGGGCACATTCCCTTCCTACCCAGTCTACCATAAACTCCTAAAACAGAGATGGAAAATAAAAATTTATGAAACTAATGCAAGCAGCGACTCATAATAAAATGCTGTCTCATAATAAAATTTCGGTAAAATATCTTCAAATCATAAATGAAGAAAGAAATGTTTCACGTGCTTTCTGTTTGTTACTGAAATCACTAGTGTACTAGAAAAGTTTTCAAGATCATGAAAAGTCATCTACAGTCAATAAGCTCTTGCATTAGAGAAGTAAGAATAAAGCCAGACAACAAATCATGTTGGTTGTAAAGATATACTCTTCCACCTTTTTATTATAAAACATTGGATTTATTGTCTGTGCTAAAACACTTTAGCCCTATATGCCTCAATATAATTTCTATATGTTTGGATTACAGTAATATTTACCATGTGTTTAACTTCTTTTTATTGAAAAGGCCATTCTTAGATATCAAAAGAATTTTCCCTTCCTAGAAGATAGAATCTAAAGTCAACCCTAAAGTAAATCTTTTGAAATTGAACTGTAAAACACTATATATGAATGTATTATTAAAAAGAACTTATTTTTGTAGATTTTATTCTGCTGGCTCAATATATTTTCTTCCAGAGAACATTAAAATGACTTGTAGTAGTGCTACAAAAAAATCTGAAAACACAGATGCTCAAACAAAACTGTAAATTCTCCCACCAGTGAGAAGTCCCCAGTCTCCTCCCTTCTTCTCAGTGAGGGCTTCGTTGAAAACACCTGTTGAGAAGTTACCCTGAAACTTAACAAATAATTCTTATAAGCCAAGATTAGCAGTTGTTTCTGACAAATAGCAATGATCTCTATTTGATTTTTTAGATTCTCCTATTAACATAGGAAATAATTCACATGTAAATTAAGCCTATGAAAATGTTTAAATGAATTTATATCAATTTGCCGCACCTACCACAAATACTGTTCTTATTTTTCAAAGTCAGTTTTATAGCTTTAAAATGGATAAAATATTTTGTTTTAACAATGTTGAACTAGGGCATGATTAGTAAAATATTTTAATCACCAGTCTATTGTTTCATCACTTAGAGGTGACTTTACTTTGAGACACTTGAATAAAATCTGCGATAAAATCTCTTCTCACAAACCAGTTGCTATACCAGCTTACATGACTATTCAGCATTCACATGCAGTAAAACATACTCTTATCTACAAACCTAAAGATTTGAAGCTTCAAATCTTTAGACCTTGTGACTCACACAAAATGCTTTCATACTAACCAAGCCATAATTTGAATTATACTAAATCCTGAAGTCCAAAATTTCACTTCACCAGACTTTACCAGGAAATCTTGAAACAATTATGAAATTATTTTCATTCCATCAATAGAAATATACTGTGCATCTTCTAAACAGTACACAAAATGCTGGAAAATAAACTGGACCTATTAGATGCTAGTCTACAAGCATTCTGTGGATTAAAATTCTTTCTTGAGAATTGCACATGAGATTAATAGTGTGGTGTGTTAAATGCACACACTAATAAATGCACCTGAAACAAAATTATGGATACCTGAACATTTTAATTTAAGTATGTCACTCCAAGACAAAGTGTATGCAGCACTAACTTTAAAAAAAAAAAGAGAAAGAAAGGTCATTGCAGTTAATTTACTCTGTTCTCCCTAATAGGCATTAAGAAAAAAATTGACATATTTAAAATGAAATAAGCATGTTAGGAATTTACAAAGTAAAAACCAAGTTTTAAAAAAAGGCCTGTTCTAACATTTTATATTGAGAATATTTCCATGGAAGAAGCAATATAGGGAATAACCACTTTGGTAAAAAAAAATCAAGATTTGAAAACTAAAACTTCTAAGACTTTAATGTCATGGATAATGATTCTAGAGGAAAAGCAATGGAATGCAGTTTGTCTTTTGTTTTCCTTTGAAATTTTCTCTCTTACCATACCCACCTCCCAACACCCCAGCGAGTGAGTGGGTGAGGGTGTGTGCAAGCGCGCGCGTGTCTGTGTGTGTGTGTGTCTGTGTGTGTGTGTGTGTTTGCTTTGGCTTAAATTTTCCTCCTAATGAAAGGAATCATCATCACCCTCATCCTCATGCATCCCTCCCTCAAACAGTGACCAGCTTTAAGAACAGCCTGGTGTAAATAGAATATAGTCATTCCTGCCCATCAAAACCTTCTGAATACTTCTATGAAAGATTATTCCTCACTAATCTGACTAAAAGAATCAGGCTTGCTGAGAATTTTAAGGCACCAACTTCATTTTTATTGGATTTCAAGAATAAGTCAACTCATAGCACTTGAAGTAAAAATTAGCACCTCTGCAATATCTCTGAAATTGTCAGTGGTAAAAATTTTAAAAAGTATGTAACATATTATGCACTTATTAAATAACTACAAAGATCTACAGATATATTTTAACATATCTCCCTCTGAATAAATGATCATAAATATCATTTTTATACTGGTGCAGACATTTGAAGAAAATTTTTTAAAGGGATGAGTTTCTTGTTCAGTTTATAGAGACCTCAAAAAATCATGACTATTAATATACAGTAAAACACTGTTAAAAAGTGGAATTTAATACTACATTTCATACTTTAGCACTCAGTATCCTCAAATACAAGAGTCTTTTCTATGGATATTCTATTATAAGTAAATATGGTTTGTTTAGTTTTGGCGTTTATACAGTATCATTTAGAAAGGATAAGATTGTGAAATCTTAATACTCAATTTTAATATTAAAAATATTACTGAGTCAAGTGTCATTAAAAGGTATTTGCTTTTCAAAGCATAAAATTATGCAGGTTATTTTCATTTGCCCCAAACTATACTTCCTCCCAAAAATGTCAATTTTAGTTTAACTCAATTTTGAATTTCAAGTCCTGCTCATCCAGAATAATTTGTAGCAAGACTTATTAATAGGCAAGAATTATGTTTTTTCTATAACACAACTCAATGGTGAGTAAAAGAAATTAAGCAGTGACTAGACAATACAGCCAGTCATCTGCTGTTGTTAAACTCAACATCCGTGATGGGCCAGTTGTTTAGTATTTTAAATGAACAACTTTGAATTACACTCACTACTGTATATCGTATAACACTTAAGTATACTGAAAATATACAGTATACAAACCTAAAGCAGCCTAGAATTATTTCACACATCAGATGCCTTTAGTACTACTTGCCTACTCTTTCAATAGCACAAAATAAGTTTTCGACCCCCTGGTGTACTCTGCTTAATGATTCAAAAAAAAAAAAACCCAAAAAACAGATTAGGAAAACCACAGGTTAAATTAAATATGAACTTTTCATAGTTAGTAGTCATTCTCCAGAGCCTACAATTATTCAAACTTTTGAAAGAACTAGAAATGAGAGCATGATTCACACTTCCATAGCTCAGTTCCACTATTACATTATGCCTCAGTTCCAAATGAAGAAAAAATGGAATTCATGTCCTTGAAAACACATTTTAACTAAAAAATTGGGTTGTTGAGGGAGGAAGACTTAATTCAAATCAGTCCAGGCTCTGGAATTCTGACTGGTTGCTATGTTGAACTTCAGTGAGTTGCCTTCTTAACACTCAGGTATACATTTCTTTCATTTTTGGTATCAGACTTTTTGATGGAATTAAAAACTTAAAGTGAGATAAAACTAAAACTTTTTTCTACTCTGGGAATTTTTTTGTTTTGGAAGAAATGTAGACCAACAAATAAAAGTAAAATCTAAAATAAATACTAAACAGTGCAAACATTTTAAATCTATAAAAATAAACTTTAAAACTGCAACAAAAGTAAGACAATTTACATTTTGTAGGTATTGGGCTATTTACACGGGAGGATTTTTTGTATAGACTCTGTTGTACATACACACAGTGGCAAAAGTGCAAAACCATTTCCATTTGGAAACTTCCCCCTCTCCTTGCCGCTGGGGTGATGGCTTGTCCTGTCCCTAAGGCTGCAGGACAGGTCCAAACCCAGCCATAAAGTTAAGCACCAGTTATGCTAAAAGTCTCCTACCTGGATTATGGACATCCGAGTGGCAGGGGTCTCGCTCGCGTTAGTCCCTTGTCCAGTGAAGCTGGTGTGGCAGCCCGCGTGCCCCTGAGGGACAGTCAGGTTGTTGGAGGCAGGCTTGAGATACATCACCTCGGACCGGGGCGAGCTGAGGGGCAGACGGGTCTGGTAGTCAAAGTACATGGGGGAGGTGGCCAGGGAAGGGCTGCTCACCACGTTCATGACGTTCATGGCGTTCCTCTCTTCCACCTCGCTCTGCACCAGCATGATATCATTTTTATTGATCTTCTTCTTCTTGCCCTTGCCTCCACCCAGCTGCGGGTGGCTGTATTCTGCGATTCGGCAGTTGTAGGTGCGGATCTCCTTGTTCTCGCGCTTGCACTTGACCGCGATGGTGATCATGGCCGCTAGGAGGATAATGGAGATCGTACTCAGAGTCACGATGAGCGGCAACGACATGTCCCAGTGGTGCTGCTCGCCGTTCACCCGGGGAACTCCCTCGGGCAAGGAGCCGCTCACCGAGCGGATGATGAGTTTGGCCACTGCGGACAGGGTGGGCTTTCCGTGGTCAGTCACCTTCACCACCAGCTCCACCACGGGTGTCACGTCCTCCCAGAAAGGGTGCAGTGTGCGGATCTCGCCGCTGGACGGATCGATCTCAAACAGGTGGTCGTCATTACCGTCTACGATTTCGTAGGTGAGGCGCCCACTCTCGCCGAAGTCGCTGTCGAGGGCCCGCACGGTGCTCACCAGGTAGCCCAGGCCAGCGTTGCGCGGCACCTGCAGCTCAGCCGTGTCGTTCTGCAGCGTGGGCAGCACGATCACCGGCGCGTTGTCATTCACGTCTAGCACTGTCACCCTCACGGTAGCGTTGCTCTCCAGGTGCGCGGGCGCACCCGAGTCCTTAGCAAGCACCTTGAACTCAAAAGCCTTGGTCTGCTCGTAGTTAAAGGAGCGCAGCGCGTAGATGGCCCCATTGGTGGGGTTCACGGACACATAGGTGTAGATGGACACGTCGCCAATGTGCGAGGGCAGGATGGAGTAGGACACGGTGCCGTTTTGCCCCAGGTCGGGATCCTGGGCGAGCACGGAGCCCAGGTACTCTCCTGGAATGTTGTTCTCGTGCACCTGCAGCACGTACAGTCCTTTGGTGAACCGAGGGGGATTGTCATTCTCGTCCAGAATCTTGACGGCGAATGACTTGGTGGAGTTGAGTGGAGGCGAGCCCCCGTCCCGCGCCACGATGGTCACGTTGTACTCGTCCTGGGTCTCGCGGTCCAGCGGGCGGTCGGTCACCACGGTGTAGAAGTTGTCATAGTTCTCCTCCAGCTTGAAGGGCACCGACCCCCCGGACCCGCTCAGGCCGCCGCCGCCCGTCCCTCCTCCGCCCAGGACTCGGCACTGCAGCTGTCCGTTCTTGCCCGAATCGCGGTCAGTGACCCGCACCAGGGCGATGACGGTGCCAGGCGGGGCGGCCTCGCTCAGCGCCCCCTGGCGCACGGAGACGAAACCGATAGACGGCGCGTTGTCGTTGCGGTCGATGAGCTTGACAGTGACCTTGCAGTGGGCAGGAATGGGGTTGGGCCCCAGGTCTCTGGCCTGCACATCGATCTCCAGCATCCCGTTCTCCTCGTAGTCCAGGTTGCCCTTGACGCGGATCAGGCCGGTCTTGGGGTCGATGGAGAAGAGCTCCCGCACGCGGTCTGGCACATAGCTGCTGAAGGAGTAGAGCACCTCACCATTGGGACCCTCGTCGGCGTCTGTGGCGTTCAGATCAATGACCACGGTGCCCAGAGGGGCGTTCTCGGGCAGTTCCACCAGGTAGGACGGAGCCTCGAAGACCGGGCTGTTGTCGTTGGAGTCAATCACCTTCACGTTGATCTGCACCGTGGCTGAGCGCGGCGGCTCGCCGCCATCCAGGGCGGTCAACACCAGCGTGTGGTGGTTCTGCTGCTCGCGGTCCAGGGCCTTCTGGATGACCAGCTCTGGGAATTTGGTGCCGTCGCCGCGGGACTTGACGTCCAGCGCGAAGAGGCCGTGGTCGTCGCGCGTGAGCAGATAGGTGCGGAGCCCGTTCTCGCCCGCGTCCGGGTCGTGCGCGCTGGTGAGCGGGAAGCGGGTGCCCGGGGCGGCATTCTCGGAGATGTCCATCTCGATCTGGTCCGAGGGGAACGAGGGCGCATTGTCGTTGATGTCCTGGATCTCCACCTTGATCATGCAGATCTCCTTGTCGTTGGCGAACACCTCGAGGGACAGCTGGCACTTGGCGTTGTGGCGGCACAGGGACTCGCGGTCGATGCGCTGCTTGGTGTAGAGCAGCCCGCTGTCGGCGTCCACGTCCAGCAGGTGCGGCGCGGAGTTCTCCAGCACCCGGTAGCTGCCGGACTTGCTACGCCCGCCGCCGCCTCGCTCCGCGGGCGGAAGCCCCGGCTGCAGCCGGGCATCCTTGCCGATGTTGCCGATCACCGTGCCGGCCCCTTGCTCCTCTGGCACCGAGTAGTTGAGGTTTTTGAGCGTCAGGGCAGGGGCCCATAGGAGGAAACAACAACAGATGGAAAGGTACATCCCAGACCGGTGGGGTGGGGGCAGGAGCAGCCGGACCGGAGAGGCGAGCCGGTGGGCGCGCGCCAGCTTGGAGTCCCTGCGCTGCGTGCGCGAGGCGCGAGCCACAAGTCTGTGGGTCCTTCTTTCCCTGGGCTCCCCGGCTGCGGCACTGGCGGTCTTTCGTTATTCCGCTCAAGTTCCCCGAACCTGTTGATCTACAGCATCCGCACTGGGCGAGAAGCAGCGGTGCAGGGAAGCCGCAGGGCCACCGAAAAAGGCGGCGACTCCCTGCGGCTGGGGGCGAGCCCCGGGCTTTGTTTCTCCTGCCCGGACTTCGGGCGACTCAAACTTGAGCGATGAGGCCGGAGAAGAGAAGGAAATCGCGTCCGGGAGGAATGATAATGAGCTCAAGAATCCGTAGGTTTTCCTCGCTCCCGCTAGGGCGCTGCAAATCCACTCCCGCCCTTAGTCTCTGGAATACTCTTCACAGCTAGTGGGGGAGGGAGCAGGGAGGTGTGTCTCCAGGCAGATCTGAAAGTAAAATCCTTACTTATTTTTCGTCTCAAATTGGTGGGGACGAGGAGCAATGAGGAGAGAGTCGGGCGTATTTTGAAGCTTCCCCGGAGCTCTGTGAAATGTCTGCTTGCTTCGCGGGCTAGTCTGTTTTCAGGCAGTGTTTTGCTGCATTTAGAGATTTAATCTTGCATTGCCGGTGGAAGCAGCGGCGGCGGCGGACTGCATCTCCCAGCCCAGCGTATTTTTTTTTTTCCCCCCTCTCTCTCTCTCTCCTTTCCGAGCAGCCAAAGGGAGGGGAGGAAATGCAGCGCAAAGAACTAGTGTCCCGATTTGTAGTTTCCTCCCTCCAGCAGGCTCCTCCCTCTCTTCCTCGGAAAAGGCTCTCCCCCAAGTCAGGAAAACCACAGCCAGATCAGCGTTTGCTGTGTGAGTCTATTGGGAGGGGAAAATATATAGATATATCTCCGCCTCTGCTCGTAGAACACACACTCAGAGATTTCCCTAAACCCAGGCAGGAGCTGCCGCTACCATCCCATCCTCTGCCCGCAAGCAAGGACTTCTCTCCATGCAGTTTAATTCCAGTTTGCTTTTCTTCCCAGGCGAAAGGAAATCAACAGGCAACTCATGGTTGGATGTGCAGATTTGCAGGGGGAGGGAGAGGCGGAATAAAAAGGAAGGGGGAGCCACCCTCCCAGTCCTAGCACACACACACTCCCTGTCTCTCGCTAGAAGGGAAACAGTCTCTGCATTCACAGGGCTGGGCTGTCAAGTGCCTCTCTTTTCTTTCTATTCAGCATCTCCTTCCAATGGCCCTGCCTCTCAGTCCTCTTCATTTAAAAAGGAAAACCTTGGCTAGGAATAAAAGTGGCGAATATTTGAAGCGAATAAAGTGCGGGTTTTTTTTTTTTCTTCAAAAAAATTTAATAGTAGAAGGAGTGGGCTGGAGGAGAGAAACACATCAAGGTTTGGCGTGATGCATTCTGCAGTCTGCCTCGTACTCAGTCTCTCTGGGCGACTCGGGGAGGGCAGGGTGTGAAGAGCTGCAGCCAAAAAAAAAAAAAAAAAAAAAAGCCTCGATCCTGCCAGGGGCGCCCACCCCGGGGAGACACCTCTGGGGGGATATTAGGCACAGGTCTGTCTATACATATTTCGGGTTCTCGACGCGCCTCGACATACGGGAATGACACATCCAGAAATGCAGGTGTTCTGATCTGCCGGATGAGTCAGAAGCAGCGGAACGAATCGTATTCACTCTCGCCTCATGGTCCTCCCTTCACAGACATTAGTTGCAGCTTCTTCCTAACGCTTTCTCTGACTCACTCAACAGAAAGAAAAGCGAGATTCATGTTTTGGAGATAAAGAAAAAGCGAGAGAAAGGGAGGGAGGGAAGGAAGAAGGTGAAGCTGAATCCAGCAGCACTTTTACACTACCTCTTTCTGCCGGAGTCCGAGGCTCTGGAAAACAAGGCTTCTGTTTTTGCTAGGTGTATTTATTTATTATAATTATTAGTTAAAAAAAAAAAAAACCCTTTCCTCTTGATTAGACGTGAGACACCCCAAAATCTTTCAGAGTCTTGGGGGGAAATCAGGATTCCAGTGAATGTTCATAGCTTAGCCCCGCACCATAGTTCAAGATTTTCCCCTCAATGTTCTCTAGTCACAAAGTCCAGCACCGGTGTGCATAGTTAATTGTGCAGTCCGTTGTGGAGGTTTTTTGTTTTTTTTTTGTTTTTTTGGTTTGTTTTTTTTTTCCTCCTTTTCTGCCACGGGTGGTCTCTTTCAATCTGGTGCCTGTCAGGATCAGCTCACAGCCTGCGAAAGACTCGCGGATTTCAAAGCAAATAAATCCATCTCCGCAAGCAAAGCATCAGAGGAAATGAAAGGTGAAAATTCAATTCAACAGTTGGAGAGCGTCTCCCTGGCCGCCCTCCGCGGCTGCAGCATCCGCCGGGCTGGCGGTCCCAGCTCTCACCCCAGCGCCTCTAGCTGACTGACTCTATTCACCTCACGCCGCCGCTTAAACATTGATACTGATTCCCTGCCAGCCAATCCGCGCGAGGAACCAAGCCCTGCCTCCCAGCCCCGAGCCCAATGGGGGGAACAGAAGAACTGGCGGGGGTGGAGCCAGGAACCCCAGAGCTTCAGAGTCATTGATTAGATCAGTTAGATGGGAGCCGGGCAGTGCTGGCCCAGCCCGGCGCTCTCCTGTGACCGCGGCGCCCAGGGCCTCGCAGCCGGGCCTCCCTTGTCTTTAACTAGCAGCAGAAGCTCTTCCACCGTCTACCCCTGGAAAAGAAAGACTTTTCTTTGAAAGTTTGACAGCGATTTATTTATTTATTTTATTTTTGGTCAGAGGTACACAGACACCGGCATCGCAGCCTGCTTGCAGAATCAGGTAGCTGCGGTCTTCCTGATGGGTTTTCTGCATTCACACACACTCACTCTCTCTGTCTGTCTCTCCCTCTGTCTTTCTGTTTCTCCCTCCCTTTTCCACCGCCGCAGTTTAGCATATACACATCCATGCCAAGGGAGGCGCAAATTTCCTGACTGTGCGTGGATCTGGCTGGATGAGCTGCAGAGGGGTGTCTGAGTGTGTGCGTGCGTCTGAGGTGTTGTGTGTGGTTATGCGCGCGCGTGTGTGTTTTGGGGGAGTGTTATGTATGTATCAGGGATCGTGTGTGGATTCCAGGGCGCTGGTGCGCGCGCATGGGGAGCAACAGCAATCAATAGGTAACTTTCTCTATCCTGGGAGAAAAATTACTCGTCCCCAGGCACTCATGCAAGGAAAGACACTTGATTATGAAAGTGTTTCAGAAGAAAAACAGAAGCCTGGTGAAAGAGAGGTTGCCTCTTCCCAGAGGAAAAGCACCTCTCCTTTAAGGAGAAAGGCTCTCTGGCATATCGAGCTTTATAGTTCGTTAAAACTCAAATCTGGCTAAATAATACTTAGGATTCTATACTTTACAGTCACCTACGTCTCAGTCTAGATTCAAGGCAAAGCGGACATCCTGTCTCCCCCGCCCCCAAGCTCCCCCCACCCCCAGAAGTTATTGGTGTTTTGTTCACTTTGATCTTGTTATTAAAGTTTCATGTGGCAATTTGAATTTTATTTCATAAGACCAAATAGACGTTGATAAAACCGCATTGTCAGCGCTCCTAGGGCATGGAAGTTGAATGGTAAAATATGAAGCCAGATCAGTGGAAATCTGTTACAAGTCATCCTAAGTACCACCATCACCACAAAGACCACCAACCCCCTCACCCTCTCCCACAGGTTCCTGATTCAACCACTACTCCAACTTCAGTTCCTAATCCCAGAGATTCTTTTCTTTCCAAACTATTATCACAAACATCCACAAACCAGGACTGTTTTGCTTGTGATCCAGTTGTTCTGGGAAAGAGTTATGACGAAAAAAGAAAATTGAAGTATTGAAATAGAAAAGGTGAGTGTTTTGATTGCTAGAGTATTGATCGCAATTCATAAATACTAAATTTAAGTTGCCATTTATAAATTGTGAATGACTAACATATGAATTGTAACATGGAAAATTCAGGATTCAAAGCAAATCAAATCAAGTACAATTACAAGAAAGTTCTGATGATTGTTATTGGGATAATTGCTGAAAGATTCAGGTAAGGGAATAATTTATTTCCCAGGGGATCCAGTGAGCTAACTTCCAGTCTGAATTTGCTGTCTGATCTGGATCCAAAATTCACCACTCCCCTTAAAGATTATCTTTGACAGTTTAAAAATTCAAAGGGGAGCTCTTTGCAGTAAGACCTTCTAGTCCTAGTCTGTTTTTACATAATCTAGATAAATAGTTTGATATGTATGCAGTGGTGCTATGCAGGGGAGCTAGACCTTTGTAGAAATCTGTTTGTTTTGCTGTGTGGGTACCTAACCATGCTGCCCGTTGTGAACATCACCTTTACATCTGTTCTGGGTTAGTATATCTTGTATTCTGGAAGCTGAAGCTTTGAGGCTTGAAAAACAGCTGCTAACTTAAAGATTATAAACTCAGTTATTAATCATTACTTCTAAATATGACAAATCTATGACTTTATTTTTGCATTACATTATTATTTAGGAAGTGTTATAAAATATCTGTTTATGATGAGACAAAAATAAGCAAATAAAAATTCCAAGGAAAGGAATTTTTAATTATTAATGAATCTTAATTAGATGTGATATTATATAACTAAGGAGAGAAAGACAGTGTCTAAGAGGAGACTAGTGATATGAATATATCTTCATAAGTATCAATGTGCCCATCCTCCCTTCAGAGTAATTATGTCACACCTCCCCCTAGTGTGTGGGAAGAGAATGACCATGCTTATGGTAAATACCACAGGGCATGTGCCAAAGGTAGGAAATAGTACTATGTCAAATGTCTTTCGCATATTTTATTTAATTTGTAGTCTTGAGTTTTATGGTTAGACTGACATATATCCAAAATGTTCTCATCCTTATGTATCATCCCAGTATTTTATTTTGAAAGGACATGGAATCAACTGATATTTTTAATTATTTAACTTCCCTTTAGACAGGCACAGTTTTTAAAACTACAATCCTTCTTAATTTTTAATCATATTATATGTTATAACTTCTATCTTTTCCCCCAAAATACTTTACATATGTATTTGCAATGTCATTATTGGGGATTTTTTTAAACTATGCCTAAACTATTGAAATCAATGTTTCTGAAAACAAAGATGATGTAAATATGATAAAAGAGTTAAAAAATCCTATTAGTTTTTATGCCAGGTTATAAATATATGAGATCTAGTCGAGGAATCTAGAAAAATGTAGCATTGTGCATAGCTAGCAATACCTACATGCACTTCTCAAGAGCTAGTTGATAATCATGATTTATAATTATAGTCTCAATCTTAAACCAAAATTATACTAATCCTTTTTATTACATATATACTGAACATCCAATCACCTTGTGTGAGTTAATCAAGATATAATATGTCTGCACACTCATTGAGAAAAAGTATTTTGAGGGATGTATATAAATGTAACACTTAATTAGCTATTATGCTAATCTGGGTGAGTTTTAAAATACGTTATTATATTGGAATAAATTCAAATAGAATTACGAAGGTCTATTTTATAGATGGACAAAATCTGATTTATACTGCTGCGTTAAATTATAAATTAAGTTAATATTATTTTAAGACATGTTCTAAAAAATGTTATGTCATGAAATTTCATGTGATCTAAACTATTTAACTTTGACTCTGACTCTTTAAAATTCATATTTACAAGTGGTAATTGTACGTCTGAGAGTTTATTCATGTAACTATAATGGCAACAGTTATAACATTCTTCAAAAACATTCTGTTTACTGCATTCTTGAATTCAATAAAATACGGCTCTTAACAGAAAATTTTTGATGTTGATATTTTCAACACAGCCATGGTTTAGATGAATGAATAATTCTCTCCCCACTCTTTCTTTCTTCATTTTTATCATTATTCACTAGCTGGTTTCAAATATTTTCATATTAAGAGAAAATTTTCATAAATAAATTTAACATAACAAGTAAACTGTTTTAGATATAATAAATATTAAAGATTTCACATCATTTAAATCCTCAAATGAATAATAGTACATTATTCATAGCTAGTTTTCTTTGTACTTTAGAGGTATTTGTGGCTCAGCTCTAATTCACAGCTGCTGACCATTTGCTTACTTTTAATCAAATGTCAAACCTGATTTTTAACAAATGTCAAATTTACACTACCAATAGGAGAATCACCTAAACATATCTTTCTCCTTAATGATAAATAAGAATTACAATCAAGCAAAACAAATTAATTTGAAATTTTAAGCTTCAAAGGAAATGCTTTATAATTTAAAAAGTTTTGGAGAACTCAGCTATTTCTACTTAACAGCAATAAAATAAAAAAATCAAAATATCTCTAAAAACCAGTACATTAAATTTAAATAGTGATGTTTTCTAATGTTTTTTTGATATTATTAAATCTTGCTATTAGAAAAGTATTTCTCAGTAAATAATATATTTCACTTTTCTTCTATCTCATATGTATATGTAATATTATGACATAACAGATACATATCTGTGCTCTCCTCCCATACGTGGTAAGTGTATTCCAAGGAACAGTCAAAAATTTAAGCTACAGGATTAACCCTATAAAAACAGGCAAGGTATGTTAATTTGAATTTCACACAATAAATGAACTAATTTTCCAACTGATGTCCCTGTATTATATACGTAATATTTATAATAAACACATATACATCAGAAGAAAAATTCAGGTATTAGTTGACAACAATTAACTTTTGCAATTGCACATATTTCAAGGCATTTGTTTCAAAGTATTGAGACAAATTTAGAAGTTAATTTAATATTTTATATTTGTTTTAGAGGTGAAGGGTATTTGGTATGTTTTAAATAGATTTTGTGTGTGTGTGTGTCTACCTGAATGTAGAGTACATGAGAGAGACCATATAGAAACAAAAGTTGTCATAGCAAAAATATTACATTATATCTAATGTATTAGTTGGTATATATTTAAAAGGGAAGTTGGATTACATTATACAAAATCTAATTCTGAGAAAAGGTATCTTCAGCCTCATAAATTCCAAATGACACATTTATATCTTCTCCTGACTTAGCCAGAAATAAGAGGATTCAATTAATTATGAAATCTCCACTCTCCTGCCCCATAAGACGTTACATGCTAGCTCCCCCTTGTGGTTATTTCTACCAAAAAAGAGAGACATTAATTCAGCCACTTCTTTTGGAAATTTCTTTCATTAAAATAAAGTTCAGTTTGTTCAGTTTTCGCATACTACTTTTTAAAACAAATGAAATGTTTACGAATGAAATAGTTAATTTATAGATGTGACGGTTGGGTCGTTAAAACAAAGTGTCTGAAACTGGAAAAAAGATATTAAGTATTTCATGCATGGAGCAGCAATCCCATTATTTCTTACAGTTAA